ATTGGTAATTTTTCGATTGATGATGAATCGGCGGAGTTGTGAGGAATTTTGGAGAAATTTTTTTGAATAACACGCAAAGTATAATGTTATTGAACTTGTTCTGTTCGTTCATTTCACTTGTATCCTCTGTTTTTTGTGCGATTATATTTTGTTGTTATTATTATGTAGAGTTTAGTGTAGGTTGATTGAATTGAGTTGAGATTCATTTGCAAATCAATAAGTGAGTTTTTTTATTCGTTTTTGGAGTGGACGTTTGGAGATTGGGCTAAGGGGATGGATGGTATTTGGTTGTGAATTGGTGATGAGCTGAGCAAATAGTAGAGACAAGAAATAAACAAATACAAAATCCATGAAAAACATGATAAGATTTGTAGTTAGGTAAGAACTAGATTAAATTTATTTGTATATATATGTTGTAAAAGATTATTAAAAACATATAGTATAAGTCGGAATTGTATTCCAAATATTATAAAGCATAAAAGTCAACAATTGATTAATGAAGACGGAGGAATAAAATGAATCACAGAAACAAATCAAATAGTCAGTCGTATAAAGCGATCGAAATTTAGATTTGAATCTGGGTAATTTGATTAAAAAATAATTGTTACATAAAGAGATTAGCGATTAGAGGTAGGATTGGGATTAGCAGTGCATTAGGATTAGGATTAGGATTAGCAGTGTTGTTGATGAAGAAAGGGATTAGACTAAAGGAGAACTACCAAAAGCCGTTTGTGAGCTGAACTGAAAGATTCAAAAATTTGTAAAAAATAGGAGAAAAATCCGGGATAGAGTTGCAATCGAGACGTAGACGGTTTTTTTGTTGTTCTGGCATGGAATATTGCAAAGGAGATAATGATTGTGTTTATTGGAATGTGTTATTATAGTGATAATATTGTTATGGCTATTGTGTTCGAGAATGTAGTTGTGTGGTTGTGTTTGTATACAGAATGTTAATAATTCGAGAAGTTTAACTATAAGAAGAAAGCGTGTAAAGTAAGATTATTTTGTAAACTTTGAACTGGTTTCTGAACGTGTGGTGTGGGGAACGAAGGGGGTATTTGCAACTGGAATAGAGAGATGAGTTGTGGTATTTAAGGTTATCGTCTCTTTTGATTTTGTAACATTGCATTGAATTGAGTTGTTTTCATCGGGCTTCTACTCCTCGTAATTATTGCCTGTGTTGATGTTTCAACAAGCAGTGATATTTGATCATCGTCCAGAGATGGAAATTATGCTAATTGTAAGCATGAGGCCAATGATAAGCATGAGTTTGAGCCGAATAGTGGTGTGCGTTAGCTTAAGGTTAAGGCTGCGTTCGATCCTGAGTTCAAGCTAGTTCAGAATATCAAAATATCGACCTCAGGTTCCATGAATCTTGAATCTTTCTGAAGCACATTCATTGTGTTGTTTCGATTTGTACCTTTGGAAAGATCTTTGTTGAGGTTGATCCCATGCGGATATATTTGATCCCAGAATTGTGGATATATTTGATATTGTTTGGAACTTTAGTATAGCAGTGGGTGGGTGATGCAATTAATGTGTTGGGATATTGAATGTGTACGAGATATGACTTTTAATAGTTTAATCTTATCCAGCACTGAGATATAGATACATACAAATGAATAATGCCTAGAGACATATGTGTGACTCTGATGGTGTAGTATTCGTAGCTGTTTTATTTGCACTTTTTATGATTGTAAAATGAGAACTGACAACTTGAGACGTTCGCTCTCGTATCGATACATTTTAGTTTCAGAATTGTTAATGTTTCGTAGTAAATTTGTTACGATTGCACCTTAGAGTTACTCATTTCAATAAGATAGTTTAATTGATTCTGAGGTTTGAGTTATTACTGTTGTGTTCGAGTCGGAATATATTTCGTCGTTTCGTAATGTGCACAAGTTAGAGTAATAGTAATAGTAAAAGTACATAGCTTCAATACTTTATTATAGCTATCCTGTAGGCCTGAAAAACCTTTAGCTCTGCACCAGAGCAATCAAAAATCAGTGCTATACACTTTGTTGCAGTCTTCAATTAGCTGCTAATGACGTGTGTGCTAAAGTTTATTATCAATGGTTTTTGTTGGTTTCTTTATTTGTTAGTTTCAACTTTATATTTCGTTGGTTGTTCATTCAGTGAAATCAATTGTTTTGCGTTCAGTAAATCGCGAATTTTTGAAATGTTTACTTTTTTAATTTTATAAAGTCACGATGAAGTCAAAAATCGAAAAGTCAATAAAATTGTCTTTCGAAAAACGGCTCACCAACTGACTTTGTATTTTTCTGACATTGAATTGTGCACTTTAATAATATTTTGACAAACTGATAAGAACTAAAAATGTCTTGAGAATAATGAGATTTTGGACGTTGCACTTGTTCGATGATAAGCACTTGATAGGATTTTTCGCAATTGTTCATTAGCTGATAATTTTAGGGTTTTGGGGTTATTTGAGGTTATAGCAGGATCTCATTTGTATGGAATTTAACGAAGGATAGGTCCGTCGAAAAAATTTTGTTCGCTTGGTTTGATGTGAAGTTGATTTCAGTTTTTTTTTTAAATTCAAGGTAATATTGGTGTAATAGATATGTCTCGTATATGTGAACTGTGTTGAATTATTAGTATGTTGATATTGCAGAATGAGAATGAATGGTATTAGTATTATAAGCATATTATGTTCGTTCGATGGGGTTGTACGATAAATTCGGTGATTAAAGCGTGTCTTCAGTGAATGTGAGCGAGAAACTTTGTTATTATTGTTGGTGTGGAGATATTTGAAAATTTATTTATGATGTTTCAGGTGAGTGAAGTTGTGGTTATTTGGGTTGGATAGAGTTTGTTTGTGTGATTATATCAACGGCCATATTGTAGATCATCTCGTTATATTGTTCTCATTGTTGGCATCATATTATCAGTGATCGGTGAATGATATTGTTTTATTATCACTGCAACCTTTACTGTCACTTATTAAAACATATTCAGTTATTTTATCGTATCGTCACTTCTCAATTGGAAATTCTTGAGTTGAGAGAGCGTAAGCAAAAACGTCTTGTTGAAACGATAACTGATGTTATCATTATTGTTATTATAATATTTCTGTCAAACAAAACAACAGAAATAAGCCACTGGAGTAAGTGGCAATTGAATCAAATTCTGCATTAGCAAAATATTTGTTTAGGGAATCGAATCGCTCGTTCGTTATTATTGTTGTTATATTGGTGGTGGTTGTAGGAGCGATTCGCTGTCTTGAGAGAATATTCGAAGCTCTTTATGAATAAACACATAAAGATTATTGCAAATAACCAAACTTCACCGAATATCACCCCATTTATTGATATATGAATATATATATCCAACGTCGATATCCATCCAACTGACTCAATGCAATAATAATTACTTGATATTTCAACCGCAACAAAAACAACAGCTTTACTGATATTTCATAAAGTAAGTGAATGGTTTTTTTGTGATTGTTATTTAAGTCAGTGGTTAGGTGATGATCGTTGTTATCAGTGTTGTTATCACAACGTATATCATTACTACGAACGGCTATTCGGTTTGTTCTCATAGGAATTTCGTGAAGTGTGAACAGTTATTGGATTTTGACTGAGTATTTCTTGAAAGGTTTTCGACGTGGCCTGCTTAAAAATGAAGGTTATAAAAACCATTGACGGTTTGCGTATTGAAGCAATTCGTGATGAATGTATAAAGTGTATAGCATTAAATGTGCACTTGATAGATATTCGATGTGAACGTGAAATGAGCATGTTCGCTTCGTTTCCAACAGCAATACAAAACATAGTCACTGCAAGATTTGAAACCGGATCGCACATTATGAAAATAAAATAATCACGTTTTCGGGAAATTCTCATCAAAAGATTCTCGTAAAAACGTCGATCGATGAGAAGAGATCACGTTTTCTCATGCGGAAAAGTCATCCTTCTGAGAGAATTCGAGTCGTAGAAACAAGAAAATGAAAACGGATAACTTCTTATCCGATACACAAAACGCGTTACTCTTCTCTGATCGATTGTTTTTTTTGCTGTTCTCATCAAGTTATTTCTCGTCTTATTCCGATGAATTCGCAAATTGTTTTTTTTACTTCTCATTCTCGATATTATTATCATTTGCATTGTTTTATTGTATTAGAGATTATTGTAATTGGATGCTATTAACAATACTGTGTCAAATGCAAGTAATAACCGCTGCAAATGAGCTAGGTATATGAAAGTAAGAGTTATCGATGATTGTTGTAAGAAGTAGATGATGCGATATTGGTACTTAAATTATAGTTATTGTCTAGTCAAGTGAAGTCTGTTCAGGTAGTAAGAAAGCAATGTCAATATTGAACGAGTTTTATTTACTCAAACTTTTGCTCTAGGAAAGAGTTATAATGTGCAGTTTGATTGTGATGTTAAACTCGAGCAGATATGAGATGAAAGAGAGAAGGTGGGGTGAGCGAAGCGAGGTATATATGATGGCGGTGGTAAGGTAACATGTAATCATACCGTCTGCGACTGCAACGCTAGACCATTTGGGCACCATCTGAAGCAGTATTTAGATTGAGGATGTCGATGAGATGAGATTTATCATCTGTTAGTGCAAGATTGCGCAGTGGATCGCGATGGCTGCGGTTAAATCAGATCTTTTGAAAAGTTGCTTCGATTCGGATTGATTGTTATTAATGTGGTGGTCAGTGTGAAAGCGTGTAAATGTAAGGGGCGAGGCGTAAATCTGTAAACTGAACCAAGGCGTGAACACTGGAGTCTGTTGGATGAGAGCGATGTAAAGTGTGATATTTCAATGCAAACCTTTAATTGAAATTATTTGTTGACAAAATGATATTATAGAGATTGTTAATTTTAGATTGTCTAAGCCGCAGTTGGTGCCATCTGAGAGAGTGTAACAACAACAAGGTGAAGATCGACAGAAGAAGACTGCGTTGATTCTGTCGGTTTGTGGCAGTTGGTTCGGGTAATACCTAAGCGTAGAATCAAATCGAAATGGCACTTCGAGAGCCGGGATACGTTCGACTGAAGCAACTGGAACACTGTTATGTGAACAGGTCGTTGGAAGAGGCATTCTCGATCGAAACTCTGCTCGATACACTCCTTTGCTTATACGATGAATGCTGCAGTTCTACATTGCGCAAGGAGAAGAATATCGCTGAATTCGTTGAATATGGTTAGTTGGTTTATTTTTATTGTTCATTAGTGTTACTTGTCATTATTATTACTAGCGTTTGTTATTTTTGTTGTTGGCTGTTATTGTTATTATTGATGGAAACCTTATGACGTATCTCAGATCAAGATAACATTTCTCAGGACATACTTACTTTCTTTGATGGAATTTCTGTTTATAATCGTGATTCTCATAGGATTTTTTTCATCACCAAACATTTTCTTGTGATTATTCTCGCTATTTTTCTCACAAGATATCGGGGAACGATCATATGTATTTGCATTTGGTCTTAATTTCTCGATTAAGAAATCTGGAGTTTTTCATAAAAAATTTTCTTTTTCATATTCTCTCTTCTTTTCCGTCAGTGGGACCAACAGTATCGGTTACTGTTATAAACTGTCAACAGTAGTGATGGGGATATGTATCGAAATTGTAACTGGTTTCATGAATTAAGTATTATGAGATATAATTCGTTTACAGTTCGATTCCTGTTTAATGTGGCATAAGTTTGCACAACGTTAAGACTAGTGAAGTTTTTTGAAACTTTTATTGGGTTTTTGTTTGCGTTTTTTTGAAGGTTGAGGATAAAGTATAAGAATTCGAATGGGTTGAGTTATCTGAAAAGGTGTTGAGCTGATTCGAATGTTGCGCGATTTGTGATCACTGAAAATCGATTAGCTGATCGATCATATGGTCGATGTTGATTGATCATTGATTACTGATTATTGATTTATTGAATTCATAAAAGAGCAAAAGAATTTCACATTCTTTGCTAATTCGATAGGAAAACACATACAGATATTTATTTGTGATAGTTGTTTTGAGGTTTGGGTTGGGTTTTGGGTGTATTTGTGAAGAATGAATACATCTTGTTTTATTTATATCATATTCGTAATTTGTTGATAATTAGTTGGAATGTATTGTTGATTGAAAAGCGAGATGGGATTGATCGAAAGAGGATGATATGAGACAGACTGAGATAGATTTGTAAGTTCTGAGCTGCGGTTGGCAAAAAAGTTATGGTTTATTCAGTGAGAAACGATGAATTTAATGGATTATTTCGTTTCGTTTCATTTCTTTTTTGTGATTTAAATTGCGATTTAAAACTTCATTGGGAATTTACATTGATTTCTCGGAGATTGTGTTCTGAAGAATATCGAATGGCCGAATGACAGTTATAAGAAAGTGGGAGTGTTTGTTTTAATGAACGATTGAGTGTAATTGCTTCAGTAAAACCAGTCGTAACAAAAGCAAAAGCGTTACGATTATGTCGAGAAGACTTCGACGTACTGAAAGTGATTGGTCGAGGAGCATTCGGCGAGGTGGCAGTGGTACGCATGAAGAACACCGAACGGGTTCGTTTCGGGTCGTGCATTTGGATTTGGATTTATTTATACGGTCGCTTCGTGTTGATATGGTGATGGAAACATATTATTTCCATGGAATAACTATGATGATTATTCCACTGAATTTGTCTGGCACCTTTCAGCCTTCTTTGGGGCAGATTATCTGAAAGAGCATAATTACAGGTATATGCGATGAAAATTTTGAATAAATGGGAAATGCTGAAACGCGCCGAGACGGCGTGCTTTAAAGAGGAACGAGACGTGTTGGTTTATGGGGATCGACGGTGGATTACGAACCTGCATTTTGCATTCCAGGATGAACGCAATCTGGTAGGATAGCAAGCAGTTTCATGAATCGAAAATTATCGGGAATTTGAAAGATTTTGCAGTTGGAATTTTCAGTTCGATGTGCTTTTTTTTCGAAATGATTGTATTGATGACAGCAACATAGATTATTAACTCGGTGGAAGAATCGAAAATGCATTCCTTCAAAAAATGAATAACTGTATAAAAACATGCATGTAAACGGTGTGATGCTAAACTGATCTGATGCTTCAGTACTTGATAATGGACTATTATGTTGGTGGTGATTTGTTGACATTATTATCGAAGTTTGAAATTCGAATACCGGAGGATATGGCGAGGTTTTACGTTGCGGAAATGGTTCTGGCCATCGATTCTGTGCACCAACTCGGCTATGTACATAGGTGAATCAATTGGATTGAATTGAGTTCGCGATTTTGAGATGCGCTTTTCAATAAATGATGATGATATTAATAACATTAATGGTAGTATTGAAGAAGATAAGAATTGCAGGGACATTAAACCAGACAACGTATTACTGGATATAAACGGGCATGTAAGGCTAGCGGATTTTGGTAGTTGCCTGAAATTATTGCCCGATGGAACGGTGCAGTCGAATGTGGCCGTTGGTACGCCTGACTATATATCACCTGAAATTTTACGGGTACGGAATTTTTACATGGTGAAATGTTTTGTTTGAGAGGGAACAGAGAGAAGATCTCGAATAACTGGGTAGTTTTATGAATGTTTTGTTAATATTATTGCGGTTGTTTTATTGATTGATTAGTTGTTATCAGTGCTGTATTTAGTGTTGGAAACCGCTAGATTTTTCTCGGTAATCACCGACCGAGAGCCGTGTCGATGATTAGCACAACTCGGTATTCACCGACCGCATAATTCTGAGTGTCGCTCGGTTGCGGTTCAGTTGTAACCGCGGGGAGATTTGTCACGGTCACCGACCGAGCGAGCCGTGTCGGTTGCGGTCGGTAATCAGAGCAATTCGGTGTTCACCGACGATCGGGGATTACCGCAAAACCGACCGATTTTTGGTGATCACCGACCCAACACTACTTGATATCTTAGTTGTTATCAGTGCTGTATTATCAGGGTAATGTTTAGGCAATGGAGGATGGTCGAGGTCGATACGGAGCTGAATGTGACTGGTGGTCATTGGGTGTATGTATGTATGAGATGTTATACGGGGTTGCGCCTTTTTATGCAGAGAGTCTGGTGGAGACTTATGGAAAGATCATGAGTCATCAGGTTCGTTTATTGAATCGTTGGGAAAAGAGAGTGGAGATATTTGGGTGCTGGACATTTTTTGAGAGAGTTTTGGGAATTATTATTGAATTTTTTTGTTTTTCAGGAAATGTTGGATTTTCCGGATGATATTGAAGTGTCAGAAGAGGCGAAGGACCTGATGAAGAAGTTGATTTGTCCGCGTGAATCGCGTTTAGGTCAAAACGGCTTCAGCGATTTCGCTGCACATCCATTCTTCGAGGGTTTGGAATGGGAAACCATTCGGGAAAGTTAGTAGTATCGTTGTTTTGGTGTCTGGTCACTATCGAGATTGAATATGATTGGATATCAGTGTGCACTGAGCCGATAAAGAGTAAATTTGTTGTTTCAGTGGATGCACCCTATCGACCCGAAGTATCGAGTCCAACGGATACGTCGAACTTTGACGTTGAAGCTTGTTCACCAGATTTTACACCTTGTGTTCGTTTTTTTAATAATCAGTTTTGTGTGGAATATGACTGATATATTATTGTTATGGATTATGCGAAATTCGTTTTGATAGTGGATTTTGGGCGATTGTTCTATTGTTTTGCAAGTTTTGTTTGATTAGAACGACAACTTTCAGGATACAAAACCGCCGAATGTAACTGCAGCTTTTACTGGTCATCACTTGCCGTTTATTGGTTTTACGTATACGTTTGATAGGTAAGTTATCTATCGATTGTGTAGTTGGGTGTTGTTTCGTTTTGGCTGTTTGGATGTGATTATGTGGTGATATGTTAGAAGTATACTCGTTATTATGAGTTTATTGTGATGGGTGTGCAGTAATATTTTTTACGATCAACGAGATGCGAAATCGTTTCAGTATGTTATCGGACTGCAAAACGTCATCGCTCGCGAACGCATTGGACTCAGCTGGTGAGCCATCAGCAGCGCTCTCGATGGAGGCTTATGAACGAAAAGTGCAACGACTCGAGCAGGAGAAGAACGAGTTGGAACGCAAACTGAACGGTATGTTGTTGAGAAAGAAAGTGCTGCTGATTGAAAGCAAATTGATTTGAATTGATGAGTGATTGATTGATGTTTTAATTTCAGACGCCAATCAAACGATTCAATCAAAGAATAACGTCACATCAGAGGCGCACAGTGAAGATTCAGCGGCAGCAACAGTGAATTATGAGCAGATCATAGCGCAATTGAAAGATGAAGTTCAGGTCTGCACACACACTCGTCTTCGAGTCGATTGCTGAGAAATTTGTTGTAAATATCATATGATAAGTGATATAATGTTTCAGATTCTGAAGAAACGTCTCGTTGACGAATGTAATGCGTCGTTACGACCTGCAAAAGAGACGAGTTTAGAAGAGTTGGAGAAGAAGTTGAAAGAACTGAAGGAGAAGAACAGACAGCTGATTCTCGACAAACAAGACTTGCAACGGGTAAGATCGTCACCAAATGATGAGACTCCTCCAAAAACTTTTCTATTGTTACCGCACCTCGCTACTTTGTATGTGCCTATGACAACATCATCTACTGCAGACTTGCCTTCTGGATATTGTTCATCATGTTGTTCAAGTAGTCTATCGTCGTATTCGTCCGACTGTTCATCTTTTCTGGAGGCATCTCACAGTCATGCACATTGTCACTGCCACAGTCTTATAAGTGGTGGCTATATTAGTAATAGCGGTGATTCTGCTCTGGGTTGTGATAATCCACGGTGCAGTCTGAATGTAAGTAAGAGTACGAAATCAAATCCAAATCTGGTGGGTAGTTGTTGGCTTGGAATCGAAGAAAGAGCTGAATCTGAAGGAGTGAAGCTGGCGGAGAAACGTGGTGATGCGTTGCTGGAGGACACAGACGGTTTACGAAGCCTTCTCATGCCTCCTCCATTGATTCTAGGCGATAGCTTTGCTTACATAGGCACAAAATGCACAGAGAGTACAGATAAACATCTAGACTCAGAGAGTACAGTTGCCGACGATTCAGGTACAGGCGGCCATACTTCTGTCCCTAACAAGCCTTCAGAAAACATGACGAATAAGCTTTTAGCAGCAGCTGGAGGAGGGTGTTCGTGTCAATGTCGTTACCACTGTGGTGATGTTAGGCCAATACTTGTACCAAGCATTTGGCCATTTCTGCCGTCTTGCTGTCAAAACCAACACATTAACGAGGCACAAGCACTTGCCTCCTCTGCTCTGATCTCTCACCTATACGTTGCGTTTCATCGTGAGAATTCGCAGCAATCGGTGAGCTCTGTGTCAGGCTACGAGAGCGCCTTCCGAAGTAATTTGTCAGAAAGCAGTGATTTTGCTTCTGCATCTGCAGCAGCAGCAACGGAAACAGTCTTCCAATTTCCGCCGATTGTGGATGAACAGTGTGTTAACCGATGTTCCCCTGAAAACTCGTCCTCATGTCTTAAACAAACTACTAACAGTAAAGGCAATATCAAAGTGTCGCCTACAGCTAAGTCGAAGTTAGCAAAACATGACGGATCATTGTGCAATAGTTCTATTGTGAAGAGTAGTAGCCGTGCTAGTATTAAGGTGACAAGTAATAAGAGTAATTTTATAGATAGTAGTGGTAAGAGTGATACTATCAAAAATAGTAGTAATGATATCAATAAGATTAGTAATGTTGACATAAGCGATAAGAAAGTCTTAAATAAGAGCAATTTGATTGTGTTAGATGAGCAGGGTGATATGAGACGACGTAAGAAACGATCGCAGATTTGTATGCGATCGAATAGTCAGAATAAGAATAAGATGTCGTGTAATGATGAACGAGGTGCGGCTTTGGGTAATAGTGAAGGCAGTAATGCCTCAATTGTTGGTGAGAAAGCTCGTAAAGAAGAAAAGGATCAGAACTCGGCTTTGAATCAGCAGATTGTAACCAGCAATAAAAAGTTAATAGCAAGTATTAAGTTAGAAGCCAAAATAAATAAGGAACCAGAAATGAGTCTAGAGATTCCAAAGAAGCAAAAGAAAGTTTTAAAGAAAAGTCCAACGATTTCAAAGGAAAAGAAGAAAGATCCGGAGAGCAGTCGGGTGATTTTGAAGGAACAGGCGAAAGATTTGGAAAAGAATTCAGATGTCTCAGAGGAAAAGGATAAAGATCCCGGAAAAAACGCCATGATTTCAAAGGAACAAGAAAAGAACCCGGAAAAGACTGGGCCGATTGTAAAGGAAGAGAAGAAAGAACCTGTAAAAAACCCCATGATTTCAAAGAAACAGGAAAAGATACCGGAGGAAAATTTGAAGGTTGTAAGGGAAAAGAAGAAAGATCTGGGGAAAAATCTTGTGATCCCAATGGAACAGGAAAATGATGCAGAAAAAAATTGCACGCTTCCAAAGGAGCTGGAAAAATCGAGCGGAGACAGCGCGACGATTTCAAACGAACAGAATCGAAGTGCCAAGAATTCAAATGGACGTGAAAAAGATCAAGAACAAAATGCGGCGATTTCGAAGGAACCTAAGAAGGATCTGGAGAAGATTGCCGATAAAAAACTGAAGACAAAAAGAGTTAAGAAGCCGAAAGTAGTAGTAAGTGCTCCAAAAGCGAGTCGCGTGCAAGACGTAGGCTTATCGACCTCACATCATTATCAATTGACAGGAGTTTTGCTCATTTGTTGTTTAGCAATGCTGACGAGCGTTATGAGTTGTTTGGGGGTTGTTGTTTGCTCGAGGAATTATTGACGTTTGATGGAGGATTGCTGGCATTAAGAGATATGGGATATTGTGGTGTTAGATGTACGGAATTTCCTTTTTGATAAGATGAAGTGCTTGTCGGTTGTTTGATGGAAGAGTTATGGTAATAGGATCTGGAAGAGACATTCAGATTCAGTTGCACGGCTCACATCAAGATTTGTCATCGTTCTCAGTTATCACTTCACAGTTATTACCAGTAATGATTCGTCTAGAACTTAGACTTCTCGATGTGCAGTAGAAATTTGTTTTGTTAGGAGAGGTGGAATGGCGGGGTAGGCATGGCGTGGTAACAGCATAAATACTTGCATAATTCAGTGATTGCTTACGGTTGGAATAACACATAAAGTTTGTTCGTTAGCGATGGTTATTGCAGCTTTTGAGTTAGTTAAAAACTGTTTTCATGTTTTGTGGTGTAATTTGTAAGAGTTCTCTTAAGTTGTCCACGTTAAATTGTGCTGCGTTTGGTTTAATTGGATTTTATTTTGATTCGTTTTAAGATAGCTTCATATGCCATGTTTCCTTGAATTAATTCTGCCGTCTCCCGTAATAGAATTCCATTTTGATAGCTTCATTCGAAGGATATTGGGGAATATTTGAGAACCCGAAATTGAGGGAACCCAAATCGAGGAAATATGGTCATTATTTTGTCCGTTGTTCGTCGCTTGCTTGCTTATTTGTTGTCATAGAGTGTGGGGTTAACTGTCTGATCGTACAATATGGATTCTGGGCCATTTCAGACTATCGTTCCTTCAAATGGCAATAGTGTTATAGTAAGCAATTTCAGTAGTTCTCGCATAAACTAGACACATAAATGTACATTTTTATTTAGTTTTTTGGTTCGGTTTGTTTTAGTGCCTTGTTTTTTTGTTTGTTTTTTGTCTCTTCGAACAGTTCAAAGCGCACGAAATTGTTTCGTTATATATCTCTTTGTACTGAAATTATTTGTTGAGTTCATTTTACATTGATCTGAATAAGTAGAACGCAGAAAATGTGACGTGTGGAAAGTGTTAAATTTAAAAAATCTTACAGGAAAATCAGTTCCTAATCGAGGTGCGTACTTTTGAAGAGTTTATTTGTTTGTGTGTTCATTCGAAAGCGGTTTGCTGTTTTTGCTACCCGCTAATAATTTTGTGTTGCTGTTGCTAGTTACTTTATTTGTTATGTGGTTTTGTGTTTCGGGCTTGGAATGGAACGAACAATCGAGGTGGATGGATGGCTTACAGCGATGAACTGTTCTTATGTGTTCCTTTGTGTTTGTGTTATTTAGGAGTATTCTCTTGTGAATAGTCGTTGCTGTTTTCATAATTTTGTTCATGGTTCAATGAAGGAAGCGATAAATATCACAGCTTAATAATTATTATTATGATAACATCTTTAACGTAGTAAGGATGATGGTCGATATTCTTCAATTGTTAATTCAGTGAAACAGTCAGCGATGGTGGATCAGTGAATGAGGGATATATTGATTGGTGGACTAATCAATTTTAGTGTTATGATAAATGTTTCCGAGAAATTAGAAGATTAGATCGTGACTTAAGAAAGAAGACGCTAGCGGATCAAGCTTCATTCGAATTTTAATTATATCCCATATAATCGTATGGAATAGTTGAGAATACATCAATTTTTTGTGAATTATTCGTTCATTCATAGTCAGATCGTTAATCTGAATAGAGTATGAGGGGAATATGAGTTTTGTAAAGTGATCAGCTGCATTAGTACATCTGAAATACCTGTGTTATTATAAGATTACTGACATTTTCATCAGAGCATTTTTATCTCATAAAGATAATTTGTAATTGAGTGAAATTTCGAATAAATGAACGAATTTTTATTCAGTGAGAGCACGAAATGAGACGTTTTAGATGGAGATTTGATAAATATGCATTACTATTGCATGAGGATGAATAATGACATTTCGTAATGGTAAATAATGATATCTCAGTCAAATATCCTTTTTTACTTCATAACATTATTGCTGTGCCAAAGTATTGTAACACTAACAATTGCATATTAACTCGTGTGTTGTGTGAATAACTCAAGTATTGCCTAATACAGTCTCTGGCACGAGCGATTGATTTAATGAGTATATGAGAGAAATGGAAAGGAAATGTTATCGAGTCTTCTGACTGTAACGGATTGAAAAGAGCCAACTGATTGTAAAAAGCTGAGCTGATCAAATAAATCGCGCTTCGTTCTTCAAAAATATCCCAAACCTAATAACCAACCAAACCTGTTCTATCCATCTAACCCGTGACCAATTATCATTGAATTGTATCGCAAGCAGATCAGAAGTTTGTGTTTTGCCTGTAATCATTATTTATACTTTGCCCAAGAATTTTGAATAGCTGTAGCGTAGTTTTGAATGAGAAAAAACATTTCAGGATCTCGAAGAGACATCAGAACGTTTGACAATCCAAACACGAGAGCTGAAAGAAGCGGTTAAGCATAGAGATCTGGCGAAGCAGGATTACGATGAAGTGAGTGATGAGTGGAAAGTTCATAGATGTTATTCTGGGTTGTGGAGGGTTTGTGTACTGTTCATGTGGATTATGAACTTATCATTATTGTTATTACTGAATGCTCAGATCAATTTGGTTACAGTTGAATACAGCCGTATTGGACGAGAGAGACAAATCGAAACGTTTCGAGAAAATCGCAAAAGAGCGTGAAGCCGAATGCTCACAGCTTCAGCAAAAACTTGATGCACTCAAAATTGATTTGCGGAAAGCAGATACTGGTCAGTTGATTGGTCGTCATTATTATTATTAATGCTGAGCATAATATGAATAATCTACTTTCAGCTCGTCAAGAAGCGGAGTGCAACTCGGAGCGTGTACAACAGGAGTTGGCAAATGAGAAAGTTCGTCGTGAGACACTTCAATCGAAACTCGAATCACAGAACGCGAAGAACGAGAGTGAGGAGGTGAAGCGGTTGTCTGACGAACTGCAGAAGTTGAATATTCGTTATGAAGAGATGAGCGATGGCGAGGAGAAGAAACGACAGCAGATTGTTGAATACTGGCAAGTACGGATTGCAGTAGTGCTTGCATTGTAGCGCTGGCATTGTTGTGCATTTTTAGAAGAGTTGGAAGGATGGATTGTGGAAGAGAGAGAGTATTGTAATCTCAAGGGTTTTTAATCAGAGGATTCCGGGGAAAGACTAATAGAACTTTGTAGTCTTAGAGTTTCCGGAAAGTATCATCTGGGTCTCAAATTCCAGAGGATTGAACACCATTCAAAATCTTTCTCTGTCAGATTGCAGAAGTTTGTTTTTTTCAGTGATTGTGAGATTTCATTAAAAGTCGTAGGTGGGTAATGAAATTTGAAAGAAGAACAATTGTTATTGATCAGTTCAATTGGAATGTTATACATTGTTGTGTTTACTTTATTGATTATCATCCGCAGCTTTTATTGGTTGTCTCAAAACTTCTTTTTGGCATTTCGTGTTCGTTATTGAAGGGACAAGTGGGCAAACTTCAAGCAAGTCTTGATCAGCAACAAACCGAAATACAGTCATTGAAAGAACGACAAGAAGCTGAACGAACCGAGTGGCGTACGAAGCACGATGAGCAGATTGCGAGCATTGAGGTGCGGGATATATCCTTGTCTTTGCTTAGATCGACGCTCGTTGTGTCGTTTCGACGAATGAATTTAGCATTATGGATTATGCAAAAGCTTTTTTTCGTAAAGATAAATATCGTTTCTTTCCGAATGCCATTTTTATATAGAAGCATCTCATGACATTATTTGTCTTTCGGATGAGAGAGGAAATTTTTGGGAGAGAATTGGAAATTGAATGTTTTGAGAATCTTTACGAACGTCGACAGAAGTTGTTGGAGGACGAGAATGCGCGAATGTCAACTGAAAATGAAGAGTTGAGGGCCGAAATCGCCAGATTAGAAAGCGAAATGTACGTTTTCGCTGAAATGGCGTCTTTTGTTATGTTGTTTTGTTTAAATTTCTTCAACAGGTTTATAAACGCAATTTTTTCAAATTCGTTTTCTGAAGAGTTGTACTTGTATTGTGATGAATTGTTTTGTGTTTATGTTTGTTTTAGTGGTAATTTCTTGAAATAGCCATTCGATGTTGATCATTATTTGATTAGATGATCGATTGATTGATTATTGACTTTGCATATCGCTCACTGGTTTGCAGTGGATCAAGAGTGGCATCGTTGCCATTCCCTGGTGCTTCAGGCCTCACCGAAAGTCAACTTCAAGAGTTATTGCAATGGGTGAACGACGAAAAAGATGCTCGCGATTCACTGCAGGTGCGTGATGCATCCACACTTGGTGCCTTCCTCTTTGGGTAAACTTGGAAGGAGAAACGAAAAAATTCTTTCAAACTCGAAATTCCTTCTTTCAAATTCTTCCAATGGATCGAAATGTTTAGATTATTTGTAGAATATCAGTGAAATGAGTTGTGTATATATGGATTGAATGTCGTTCAGAAAAGAGGAGTTGGTAGCTGAAGTTTCATTGTTGTTGTTTTTGCATACGAGCAGGATGGATTAAAGTGTAGCGCAGCTGAACGTTATGGAATTGGCATTTGTGAGAGCATTTGAGTGTGTTTGAGTTTGATTGAGTGACGAACACACAAGCACACACACACATTTACTTAACTAGTTCAAATAACCGGCAGTACTGAAGCAAAATAATATTGCAGTTTTTGAATGATGACGACGGTATTTCTATGATACTTTGCACATTATACTCTGTTACTGTTAGTGCTGCTGCTGCTGTTATACAGTTACACTGAAGTGATATTATTGATGTCGTGTGGATTGATTATATTGTTGCATTTTAATTTATGATTGTTGTTGTGCTTGAGGACACTGTTGTGTTTCATTTTAGTATCACTATCAGAAGGATATTGATATTATTATATATTGTAACTGTCAAGCTGTATGAGCGATTAGGCTGAATATTGATTGCTTCATGATAAAAAACAACAAGAATGCAGAGTAAAGTGGAGTGAAGTGATTCTTTCTTTTAAGTTTAGTGTCGTTGCTTATAGAATCTGGCGAGTCGTCTGCATGGCGACGTGGAGTCGTTGAAAATGCAGACGCAACAGACGGTTGTCAACAGTACTGGTGGTGTCAGCAATCCATCGACACCTTTCGGAAATCGTTCGTTTTTTGTTTGTTTTTTTGATTCGTTGTGGATGTTTTTCGAAGAATTATTGTTTTGAAACTTGTTTTGAAGTTACTTCGGAAATTTTACTTAACGATTGGTTTCAGAATCGTTCTCGGCCACGTCATCTGAACGTGGTGGCGGTTGGGGTTCACGGCGATTGAATAAACAAACGAAAATCGAATTGCTCGAGGCACAACAAGCACTCCAAAGCGAGATCCGTGCAAAGCAACAACTGCTCGAAGAACTCAAGAACACGCGATCGGCGTATTTGGCCACAAAACAACGTTTGGATGAAGCTGAAAAACAGGTCAACAGACGATCTCTGAATTGGATAACTGATCAGTTGATTGTGCTGAGAATATGTCGTCAAATTCTAAAGCTTATCAAATTCTAAAAATTTGCACAGAAAATCAAATGTTTAGCAGGGATACGAACAGAATTCAGTGTGCGAGATTGACCGAATAGACGATTTCAGTTGGCTGCGCAGAGTCGAGAAATAGATCGACTCACCGATGAGAAGGATCAATTTGCACGAATGTTAGCCTCACAACATCGTCCGGACATGATGAGCGACAGCAACTCATCGTTCTTCAACGTTGTTGGTGATACGTCGGCGACTGACCGAGTGCCAAATGGTCGGTGTTTTGAAGGAATTGCAGATGATCGCATTCGGGCATTTTGATTGATTGATCTCAAACTTTTCTGCCGTCCGTTGCAGTCAGCAGACACTTCATTGATTGATTTCTCTAATCGTTACTTATTTAGTTATGGCATTGTGAATTTTTTTAGTACGGTTGCATATTTATGTTTTGTTATGAAATTGTTCATATTGATTATTGCCACACTGTTGTCAATATGATTTGCAGTAGCAGCGAGGACAGTGTTATCGCAACGTGATAGTACGTCTAGTCAACTGTCAAGTGGAGTTGGAGGTGCTGCGCTAATGAATACGAGTGCTGGATCGAATATGAGCGATTATGAGGTGTCGAACAGTTCGATGTTGAGGCAACAACAAGCACTACACGCACAACTGCTGAAACAACATTCATTTTCGAGGTACGGTGATGATGAGAATCGTTGTGGTGATGGTTGGTGGTTTGATGAGAAGATGAAGAAGAAGGATGAGTTGATCAGTGATTTGCTTAATGCTAGTGGTTTGGGCAGCACTACTGCGGCTAATGAGAGTGTGGCCGAGGAAAAAGACCGAGTTCTTTATGAGTTACTCGCCGCTCTACTTGATCGTTTCTCTGCCTTCATTCACCTTCCGCAACAAGGTGCTCAGATACCCCCCTTGTTTAACGGTGGCAATATGGCTGCTGGTAACACGTCACATTTTGACCATATTCACGCTCTGATAAAACGCCTCAATTCGGTCGTACGTCGGCAACGTAGACTAACACCTGAGTCTTTACGAACCGCATTCCGCTTACACAGTAGCACAACCAGTACATCAAACATCACTGCACAGTTCATTAGTGACACATCAGATAAGACGAAACTCTTGAGGAAACAGCAACAGCTAGAACAGGAACAAGAGCAGCAGCGACTGAAACAACAAGAGAAATTGCTTGAGGAAGAAGAAGAGGAAGAGGAGGAGGAAAGGCAAGAGGAAGAAGAACTCATCAATAGTAGTAGTATAGAGTTAACAGCTAACATTGCCAAGAAATCAAATGCGGGTTGTTCGGCAACGAAAATTATACGTTTAGAGAATCGCACTAAGCAAGAAAGTGTGAAATCGTCGGTTTTAATTCAGAAGAAAAAGTTGTCACGATTGCAAAAATCCAGAACGGTCACCACAAAAACAACCACATCAAGAAAGCACAAAGAAGAGCTGGTGATCGTTCGCAATAGTGGCAAAAAGACGTTGACTTCAGCGGCTTCAGAGAAAGAATGTGTGAGAAAATCTGTTGTTGAGGAGTCCACCTTTAATAGTAAAGTATCATCTGAGACTTGTGTTGCTGCGCCACCAACTTCTCCTCCTCCGCTTTCTCCCCATCTATCTCCTAAAGACCGTACTGTCGTCGAGAATGGTCACAGTTCTATTATCCTCGGTGGCGGGGTACCAAAAGAATATTTAGTGCCAGTGCAGGTGATGGGTGAAGAGCCCATTCGAAATTCGAACGGAATCGATGAGAACACCTCCGCGATAATATCACCGTTGCCTTCGACACAACCACCACTGGCATCCACGGATAAAACTTCACTGTCGCCAACCTATTCTGTTGATATGTTCATTTTCCCACCTAGTATAGATAGTAGTGAGATAGGGTCCAGCCTCGAACCGCCGCTGGTTTCGTCGAAGCAGCATCGTACAGCAGTGCAGCCGGAAGTGCACGTGAATGGTGTGCTCCCAAGCGCTGAGATGACGACGTCACTATCAACTGATATGACTTTGTCATCGCTAGATGGAGGAGAGTCGGAAACGATCGCATCTTCTACTGCTGCAGTTGCTGATTCATCATCCACACCCCCGAGAATCTTCACGTCATCACCCAAATCATCGCCAATAGATATAAGGTCGAGTCCTACGCCCACGCTTGCCACACCATCGCCCGTACACGTGACTTTCTCTCCAGCAGCAGCCTATTACCGAGATTCTTCATCGCCGCCAACAAGCCGTTATGGAACCGCATCCTCGTTACCCGCATCATCGGACCTTTATATGAGCTCACCTGTGGAAAGAGATACGGAATCGTATTCGAAGATACGACGAGATTTGTCGCTTTCTGCGTTACGACGTAGTGTTGATATGCTATCATCGTCGGTGCTGCGTAAAAGTTACACGACCGGCTCAGCGTTAGGCAGAGATTTAGGTTCATCCACAGCACCGTTTTCGGCTCTCAGCGCTTCAGTTAGCACCACTCACTCAACCAGACCTCCCTACAGGCGATCGGCCACTGAGCATTTGACGTTCCGAAGTGCACTCGCGTCACGTCGTCTTGCTCGAGAGCCGTCGCCTGTAAAATCGCTCTGGAGTAAATTGCCATCCGTATCGGCGCATAGTCGCAGTAACGAGTTGGGTGTGCCGCGAACAACGTTACGATCCCTTTCACCGTCGGTGCCGAGACATTACCACGAAAGCAGAATGACAACGTCTTATTCGTCGTCAGGACCATACAGACAATATGATCGTCCTCGTTTGTCGTCAGTCGACAGTGGTTTCTCTTCCGCGGGAGCGTTCTCACCAAGTGGTCGGACTTATTCACTGAGTTCATTGGGTTCATCCAATGCACGCTCTACATCCTCTCGTCTAGATTCATTCTCTTCTTCGAATCCGTCCTCCTCCCTTCTCCGTCGTGACTTATCCATACGAGGTGACTTCCAGTCAAGAGGCAACTTCCTCAGCAACAGCGCCACTCTGCCACGCTCATTTACTTCCTATCGAAGATATTAGTAGACGCTTGAATCGAACGCTTCTGCTCCTGAATTTCTTCAGTGAATGTGGGCCAAGTAGTATGCGCAGTAAAGAATAATGATAATATGAATTCTTTCGCTGCTATATAGAGAGATTAGACCACTACATTTATTATTGCATTTTTCTTCGTTTCTTTCAACGCTAGTCAGTCAGATCTTTCTTCCTTCTAAACCTAGTCGCATTTGTAACCTTATAAAATGTTTCTTGTTTCATGTTTTTGTATATTATACCTGAGCAGTTTCAATTTCTAATCCAGCACATCAGCCCACAAAGACTATATTCAAAAACGGAGTCACTCAACAAAACAGCGTAGGTCTGAGCTGCTGGAACTTTTGGAATTATTAATCGCTTAAGTCTACATTTTCCGCGAAATGTTGGAGAAGGATCATTTTACGTCGATAAATTTTAATGTGCCATTTTCATGTGATCTTTTAACGTAAACTTCCGATGCTGCAGTCAATGAGGTAGAGGGGGTAGAACTTGGCGGAGAAAAATGGAGTTTGAGAGTATGATTGCTTGAGGGAGAGATTGGAACAGTTTTCTGATGCAATGGAGAACGTTCTGCAAATCTATATGTTCGAAATCGGAAATTTTCAATAGTTTCTAGTGAATTTACATAGCACAATGTACAGTCTTGTTAAAGTCGAATGCACCGCAATTTTTCTCACTATCGTATCCGTTTTCTTTTTTGCTGCGATAATGTGGTTTGAGCAGGTCGCTTTCTATTGAACGCAATCCCCGAGGGTGATCAATCAGAGTATCTTTTACAATAAATGAGTTGTTATGGAGCGTTGCTGACATGCGAAAGAAGTGCGGCGTTTTCGAGTGCAAATGCACCGTTTCTACGGTGGAGAAATCATTATTTTTCCGCTTTGGTGAAAAATTTAACACTCTTGTCCCACCGTTGACCGCAGTGTTCTTCTGCTATTGGGAGCAAGCAAAACGTTTGAAAAGTTTGGTTTTTTCCTCTTTCTTCATCTTCATCAACTCAAACGCACTCACAAACCCAGTTTCTTGCTGTTGTAAACAGTAATAACAACAACACCAACAATAACACCTTTAATGGTACGAGTAATGTTGATGGTTGTTGTGTTATGTTATCATATCGCAGTGATCATTGCGATAATGACAAGTATTATCAACCGCTGTCAGAGATGTGTATCATTAAGCATTGTCGCTGTTGTTGTTAATTTCTCGATGATGGTTGTCCCCTTTCCCGAAGCGAAGCTTTGTGATCAACCGCACTTCTTTTGTCATGCTCGTATCACCTTATCATGCTTTATCTCGTCGTGCCTTACGCTTCGATCGTTTTGGTGGTGCTTTCGGTGTATGGTGCTTTCGATGACGACTGGTCACTATTTTAGGGTCAGCTCGCTTGCGCTATTCTTTCAAATGGGATCGAGCCGGGAGGGATTTCAATATTCGAGTGGAACTCTTCAGCTTAGTGCTTCGTTGTTGATGGCTTGCTTTTGGCTTGAACACTTTCATTTGTGCGCATTGTTAGAGATACCTTTTTGCAGCCGGTCATTCAGTGGTAGCAATTGGCCATCTCTATAGCGAATATGAAGAGAAGGAAGATGAAAGTGAAATTTTTATATCAGCCGAGAGAAGATGATATTTTGAAGTTTAGATGCGGGCAGAACCTTAAGAATAATTAAGACTCTATTCGTTGAATGTGGGGAACATTTTTTGAAGAATATTAGTGGCGCAAGTGGTCTGTCTACCTGTTCGTTCTTGTAATGAATGCGACGTGAAAATGCAATTCCAACCGATGCCATATTTGTTTCATATTGTCTATCTTCTATCTATCTATCTATCTTCTGTCCCACAAAACACCACCCAAACACGAAAATTATTTGTTTTTGTTTTTTCGTTGTTACGTTCTTAAATGTTTTGTTCGGTGTTTTGCGTTTATTCGGTGCTCATCGATCATTTCTTTCGAAGCCTTTAACTACTCATTTACAGTAGTCTTCATGTTCATTCAGTCTATGGGAATTAACTGTCGCAGTCAAATTAATAAGCAGCCTAGCAGCAAGCCATGTGTGTGCGTGTACATGATGTTAATAACCATGATAAGGAATAATACTGTGAACATGAACAACCAATCTGTAATATCTTTTTCGCATGATAGCACTGGTGATACGGGTTATGATGACAGCATGGTGTGGGTTATCTGTGCTCTGATAGAGTACTGATAACAGTAATAAGGACAGTGATAAGGGTAGAAGTAACAANAAAACGGTTATTTGGTTGAGTCGATCAGTTATTCGAGTTTAACTGTGATACGTTGTGTTTGATTTGCATAGGTTCGTTTTGCATGAAGACGTACGTGGTTATCAGCCAAGCGGGTACATTTCATGGGCCTCGTTTACCCTGTCTCCCCGTCGACTTTCATTTAATTTTACTGACTCGTTTGCCATATTATCAGCTTGATGCATAACGTCGTCATTTTGTTTGTTTCATTTATTTCATCATCCTCTTTTATCAGTTATGAGAAGAATGATGAGTCAAGTGGTGGTGATTATAATAAACTAATTACAATCACTTAAATCAATATACATAATACCTGCATACACATAATATCACTTCTCATAGTGTAGTGTATGATTATTGTTACGTCACAGTTACAGTTTTGAGATAAATAATCGTCTTTTATTATTGTTGGGAATGCATGAATCGATGAAGGCACTCCAAAGCACTGAACACAGCACAGTTGTTTTGCACAGTTTGGTTCATCCACTCGTCTCTATCATATGCAGTAATTATCATATCAAATAACATACGGAGTTCCCGTGGAATTTTGTTCAGTATCTTTCGAGGCTGCTGCCTTCCTTATGTCAGTGACAAGGAAAATGATGTTCAGAGAGCAAATAAGATGTTGAACTATTCGAGAAGTTATTCCACAAAACATGAATGAATTTCGCATGAGAGAAGCGGAATCTCACTAAGAATAAGCATATTCAAGAAAAATGAATGTGAAAGTGAGAGGTTGAGAAGAGGAAACGGTAAAAATGAAAAAGTTTTATGGAGAATAGGTTGAAAAGTCGTCATTTCAACGACATAAAATACCGGTCGATTCGAGAATTTGCAAGAGATGATCATTATTGATTTTGTATCGAATAATGAATGAAGAAGCAGTGATCAAATGAAAATTATTCTGTTAACTGAAACGTAATGATTTGAAGATGTTGAAGCGATAGCTCGATCGTCTCTTAAGATTAGAACGGTTAAATGAGATTTTATCCGAGTTCATCCAATTAAGGATCTAAATCGAGAACGTTGAACATTTTATGACACTGGTCGCAGATTTTGCCTTTTAAAATGAAATTTTTTTCAATTGGAGAAAAAGAAATGGCCGTCCTGAATGGTCAGAAGTTTAGGAAATTACCGGACCCAAAAGTATGAAATTTTCAAAATTTACCCGAACTAAAGGAATAAATTCATTTGGAAAAAATAACTCAAAGAGAAAAATGAATAATTCTCGCTATTAATGGACAAAGATGTCGTCTAATCGAATGAATCAGTTTAAGTGTGAATTCGAGCGCAATGGCCACTTATGAGAATGCTCGTGTGCACACACCAACACCAAGCACTGCGTCAACGTTGGTTATGGGTACACAAGGTCGAGGCGCCAGTCCAAAGGTACGCTTCACCTTTTCATTTCTATCATTTCCGCATTTTTCAGCTTCTGTCTTTGATTCACTCCACCAGAATGGGATGGATCTATGTGAAGTTGA